AATGAAGTGGGGGTTTTTGGCATTGTGTTGAAGTTAAAGTGACTAAAGAGGTTATTTATTTCTAAGCAATAGACCTGGTAAACTGGGTTTATTTGCTGCTTAATACATACGGTTTCACCTATCACTCTCTGCTTTCAGTGCAGCAGATAAGATATCAACACAATTAAAAGTGAAAAATAATCTGTCTGCTCTGCCAGTGGTGGATGCTCAGAGAACACACGCTGATACAATAGATTTCTGAATAATTTATACTCAGCATTTTTTCCTTGCACTCGGTAAATGAGGACGCCTAATGTGGCGTGGTCAGAGTGATACTCTATCTGTCATCCATTAAGATAACAAGATTGGTGGGCCTGGGAGGAGCGTGGCCTAGCACGCAGAAAAGATGAGATTAAAAATTGAAACGTTTGTCCAAAATACTTTGCGCCAAGGATGCCAGTAAAAGCATCTCAGAAGGACGGAATTAATTCATAAGTGTGTTTTCTGCAAAGCTGTCTTTGTCTCTGCTAAAATAAAAACGTAAGATCCATGTTCCTTTCACAAGTTGTGGATAAAAGGAATGTTGGAGCAATAGGCCTTCAGTAGCTTCCACTACTTTAAATTCAAGTACTTTGTAGGTGCTATCGAAAACAATTATGTATGACAGTAATGCTTTGTGTCTCACAGAATATTCTTTTTATATATTCATAAGGCATTTTAAATTACAAAGGAAGAATAATTTCTGCTCGCTTTTGGCACAGGAGTGTCTCATCTCCCATCACAGGGTGTAAATTTGGATGGGATGGTAAAATATTTGCATAAAAAATGGCTCATGTAAATATTCAGCTGAACAGATTTCTTTCAAGGTGAAGGTATTTACAGTAAGTAGTAGCTTTGTTTTCCAAAAGCCAGGAGGCACTTGAACTCCATTAATTTATAAGCAGTGGTGGTTTGCTGTCTCTGAAGTTTCTGACAACTTCTTAAGGTTAGGTCACATTCAGATTTTCTTGGTTTTGAAGAAAGTGTTGAGATTGTGAGATCGGATGGAGGTCATTTGACAAAAAGCACCTGGAGGAAAACTTAAGCCTGCTTCTAATGTTGCTATTTTTAGTGAACGGGCCACTGTATAATATGTGCGCTACCTGGAACCCGGCCTCAAAATGGTTTCAGTGACAAATTGCTGAGGTTTTAAGATGAATTTGCCACAAATCTTAGTAGAAATAGTACCCAAGTGTTGTCTTACGGAAGAATACTTGAGGAGTGGGCATGATCCTACTGTTGAGAAACAGGTCCTTAGTGTTGAGCAGGATCACATTATGTCTTTTTTCCACCTGTATATTTTACGTAAACAGGATCATTTTCTTTCTGTTTCATTAGTAACTGTAGGAAGAAAATCAAATACAGGTGTTAAAAAGTAATTTGTGGAACAAGTGTCTAAGCTTCCACAATTAATATCCTCATCTATCGCTCACTCTGTGTAGGGCATTGCCTAGGGAGTTTAGGCTGTTGAAGAAGCTGTCTTCATTTTGACCTGGAGATTTGCTTTTTCTGAGTTTCTTAAGCCTTTTGTATTAGTAATGAGTTCATGGATGCTTTATAGTTGCTGTCTGCAGAAGCTGGATCACCTTTTTCTGTTGGGCTGTGTGGCCAACTTTGTTTGGTAAGGACAGAGACTGCCTCCTCTGCTTTCCTTCCGGATGGGCTGTAATTAAACGCTAGGTTCAAAGGATGCAGAACCTGTGTCTGAATGTCAGAACAGCTGATCAAACAGTGGGTGCCATTTGCTACTGCTTACATTTTGGTGGAGTACAAGTATATTTGGAGGAGGCTCTTTCCTTTTTTTCTCTGCATTGGGAAAACTAAACTTCTTGCAACTAAAAAACTTTTGAAGCTCTTACTTCAAGTCGTGCCTGTGTCAGTAGACCAAGAGTCTCTTGAGCAGGGATGCACGTCAGACTCTGCCCCAAAGCATTTGCAGGCAGAGAGAAGGATTTGGGGCTGTTGGGTTTTTTTTTTAATTATTCCAGTTGTTCAGTGTGGTGAGACAGGTGCTGCACGGGAGGGTAATTTTTGTTCATTTGGGCCATTTTCTCTCTTGCCCTATCAGGCTGGTGGTGGGAGAGTTATTCCACTGGTGACTGTGGGTGTGAATTTACATGCAGCACTGGATTAAACTGGGGTGGCTGCAAGGGAAGCTACCGGTCTTGACTTCCCCTACCTCTTCCCAACTAAAAGGTGGTGGCCGAATAAGCCATACAGAGACCCTCGTATCAGCACAGCTCATGCTTTCCGTCTGTTGAATTAAACCAAAATAGATGCAATAGACTTCTCGCTGTTCTGGTTAGCACTGTCAGCAGTTACCGCAGAGCCAGGCACTGCAATTCGGGGAATGTCAAAGCCAGAAAGTGAACATTAACATAAATTTTCTTCTCAGCAAGTAAACAAATGTACACACGCTTGGAATACTTTCCATTGCAAAGTTTCAAGAAGTGTTAATGATCAAAACTATGGGATTTAAAATGCCAGTGTCATTGATAACTTAGAAGGTTTTCGTTTTCTAAACAAATAGCTTTAAATTCCTCTTCTGTGTCCAGTAGCTTAAGGAAATGAAAGAAGTGAAGAGTTGTTATTTACCTCCTTGATGGTAGTACTAAGTATCTTCCAAATCAGGGGAGCTAACCTCAGGATGAGGCTTGCCTGTGCAAGAGTTGCAGAAAGCTATTGCCAGGGGTTACATGATTAAGAAGGCACATTTCAGTTCTGAGTGAATGTGAGGTATTTTCATAACGTTTGCATCTATAGCATGTTGGGCGCGCAAGGAATTTATGTCCAGCCCTTACTGACTGTGCCTGCCCTACCACTCCCTCATCATATGGCCAGAAACTCTCCCTGTTAACTCTGAACGATAGGCTTTTTGGCTTTTGAACTACTCGCATATCTCGATGAGTGCTTCTAGGAGAGCCAGTTCTACAGTTTGCCGTGATCGCATTTTTTGACAAATGCACTGTGGGCACAGAGCTATTGTCTGTGGCATGGAGTTTACCGCTTCCCTGTAGGGTATAAACATGTGGATGGTTGAGCAGTTTTAACCTCTCCAAGCCCTCCAACAAATATTAAAGTGCTAACTATTCTTCCATAATGCTATGGTGTTGACTGAAATTTGACCGTGGTGCTTGCTGAAATGATTTTCAGAAATCTAAGTGAGAAGGTTAAATAGTGCTGTCAAATTTCCAGATGTCTGTTGCAGAAATACTTTCACTGGATATCTGTGGGTTGAGCTCTAAAATGCTTAAAGTAATCCTATCTGTTTTTTTCTTCATTATTATGTGATAATATCTAAACCTTGTTTTTTAGTGCAGATAAAGAAATTAACTTGGGTTTTGCCTTTTTTTCTATGCCAGCTAACCTTGCTATTTATGGCTGGGTTTCTCTCTTTTACTTCCTGACTGAGGAATCCAGTCAAATGGTGTTCCTTAAGTACAAACCAGACCTCTAGTTCTCTTTAATTTCTGTTCAAGATCACAGAATCATAGAATGGTTTGGGTTGGAAGGGACCTTAAAGGTCATCTAGTTCCAACAAAGATGTTAAACAACACCAGTCCCAAAACTGACCCCTGAGGAACACCACTCATCACTGGTCTGCACTGGTACATCGAGCCGTTGACCGCAACTCTTGAGTATGACCATCCAGCCAATTCCTTATTCGCTGAGTGGTCCATCCTTCAAATCCATGTGTCTCCAATTTAGAGACAAGGGTGTCATGCGGGGCAGTATCAAATGCTTTGCCCAAGTCCAAGTAGATAACTGCGGTTGTTCTTCCTTTGTAACCTTCCTTACAGTGTTGGTTACACCAACACTGTGACCTGGTAGTATGAGGCCACCAAATTTGTCAGGCACGATCTGCTCTTGGTGAAGCCATGTTGGCTGTCATCAATCACCTCCTTATTTTCTATGTGCCTTAGCATGCTTTCCAGGAGGACCTGCTCCATGATCTTGCCAGGCACAGAGGTGAGACTGACTGGCCTGTAGTTCCCCGGGACTTCCTTTTTTCCCTTTTTAAGAATGGGAGTCATGTTTCTCCTTTTCCAGTCAGTGGGAATTTCACCAGACTGACACAACTTCTCAAATATGATGAATAGTGGCTTAGCAACTTCATCCGGCACTACCCTCAGGACCCATGGATGCATCTCATCAGGTCCCATGGACTTGTGCAACTTTAGGTTCCCCAGATGATCTTGAACCTGGTCTTCTCCCTCTAGTGGGCGATTCTTCATTCTCTGCCTTTGCCCTCTGAGACTTGGGTGGTGTGGCTTGAGTGCTTGCTGGTGAAGACTGAGACAAAAAACTCATTTGTAAGATCATTGTAATTACTTGATTATTTTCACAGCTGTGTCTGAAGAAGAAGGAAAAAAAAGTGCTGTAATTGGCAAGTCTTAAGAGTTCACAACTCAATAACCTGGTGCTGGAACTCTTCCACGGAACTCTTCCACCTGCAGATGCCTCATTAGTTGCTGTAGGAGTTCCAGCAGCTAAGAGACCTGAGGTTCAAATTATTTCTCTTTTTACCTGCAGACTTCGAACTAGAGAATCTCTACAGGAACAAAAACTAGACAGGGGCCTTTATGCTGAGAGCGGCTGTCGGTTGTTGGGCAGGTGTTTGACTTTCAGGTGGATCTGTTGGGAAGGCTGTTGTTTGCCCAATTCATTGCTACGTCCATGAGCCCAAACCATTTTTATTTGAGCTTTTTTGTAAAATCTAGGACTTCATTTCCTGAATGCTGTTACCAGTTCTAGATTTGTTTATTTTGGCCTTAGGTTGCATTATTTAATGAGTTTTTATTTAAGAGATGAGTCTTATGTTGCAAGAAACAGTACTAAATTATAATAAGACTGAGTCTTTAAAGATGCCATACTCCAGTCATAACTTTGAACTTATTTTGTTATTTTAAAGCAATGTTAGTGCCTGTCTCTAAGGGTTATGGGAAGCTCAAAAGTTTGATTTCTTTTTTTCTTTATTCCAGGGCTTTTTCCGCAGAAGTATCCAGAAGAACATGGTGTACACATGTCACAGAGATAAAAACTGTGTTATCAATAAAGTTACCAGGAACCGCTGCCAGTACTGCAGACTACAGAAGTGCTTTGAAGTGGGAATGTCCAAAGAATGTAAGTTGTCTTCAGAAACAATTTATTGTTTGTCATACTCTTCGTGTATGTGGCAGTCCCAAGGGAGAAAAATATTACGCAATTATGTGATCAAAGTCAGTGTCTGCAATCGTGTGCAGAGAAAGGGGTATGAATTTTACACACAGCCTCAGACCCGTACTTTACGAACTTCTGAGTCCTGAACTTTGGAGCCTAAAAGTTAAGAATTTCTGTTCAACGTGCTGCCTGCACGGTCTGGCCACCCAGTGTGGGTGTGAGAATGCCCAAGTGGGTAATTCTGCCAGCTTTTCTAAAAGAACAAACTCACAGATGCTGTGTGAAGGTTGGATTATCACCCGTCTGCTCTAGACATGGCTTACTGGGCCAAGGGTGTAAGGGGAACAGCACTGGCTGCCTAAGCTTGGTTTTAGTCCTCCCTCTGCCCTGCAGACCAGCTCATGGCTTTTCTGGGCTTGTTGTCAACCCAGGCCATTGTTTCACGTGGGCTCCCCCACTGCCTCTTGTGCAGCAGACAGCAGCCACCTGCAGCCTCGCACCCTCTCCCTCGCGCCAGTGCAGGTGCTTGTGCCAGAGGCCCCTCTTTAGCGGTAGCGCCAGTTTGTGCCGCTCTACAAAACGGACAGTGCAAAGACCTTGAGTCTTCTGTTCTTACCGCTTGGAGCCTCCACGGAAGGTGAAACAAGCTGGCAAATCCTCTTCTAAACCTGCAAAGCCATTAAACCTGACTATGTAAAAGTGCCCAAGTGCACCAAAAAACCCAAAGGATTTTCCGTTCCATTCTGCTCTTGAAATCTCTGGTTTGCCCTTTAGATTAACATTTTAAAATATTTAGGTATGTATCTGGGATTTTTCTCTTTTTCCAGCTTACTGATATCCCTGTCAAGCATGAAACTTAGGCTAAAAAAGCCATCCTCAAATCCCTATGGGATAATGCTTCTGAAACGTTCTCAGTTTTGATGGGAGTGATTGCAGTAGCAAAAAAGTCTTTGGTATAGTGATTTGTTTGATTGTTGAGGGTTTTTACCTCTGTCAGTGACATTCCTGATTTCAGTAGGTCAATTCCAGTAATAAACACTGCAGAAATTTGCAGTGTGTACATGAGAGGGAGAAAAATTGCCCAACACCACTTCTTTACTCTAATTCACCCACGGGAGTTCCTTGGAGAGACTTTAAGATCGAAGGAAGAAAAAAAAAAAGAGACACTGATGAGACATTTATGACTGAACTGTGTTAAACCAGTTATCATGTTCAGCATTTCTCCTTCCTGAATGGTGTGGCACTTCCCAGTAGTTCCCTTCCCCATACTTGGGCAGGAGCCAAAGAGATCCCAAAGTCACACACTGCTCCCTCCTGGTTGCATCCTATTTCTCTCTCCCACCCACTCCTTCTCTCCGAGGCAGAGTATTGAGGAGCAGAGGGAGAACCCGTTACATCTTTAGGGCCATTTTGCTGTATTTCCAGCTCCTTTTCATGAAAATTTGGAATTGTCGTTACTGAAAAGGGCCAACATCAAGTTTCAAGTGACTGGGGAGGAGGTCTTAGGATTTGCGATGATTTCACTGCCCTTGTTGGGTCTTTTAGTTTTCTCATGTGCCTGAAGTGCACTTTTCTATACTTACGTATAGATTTACTGGAGTGGAGCCCAGGATGGGAGTAAAGGAGAAGGCACGCTGAATGCAAAGATGCACAAAGGTGTAAGATTGAATGAGAAGGATTTTATTGATAGGTATTTGGCTTCTTATATATCTGTGCACAGGAAGCTTTTTTTCCTTGATGAAAAGAGTATGATGCAGTTTGGAAGAGAAGAAAAAACACTTCTCTCACCTGAGGGCTTGTTGGTCTTGAATTCTTAAGGATTTTGTTGCTGACGTGAAGTTGTAATCTTATTAAATGCGGTAACGTCACATCAGAGTAGGTTTTGGAAATATCAGCACTATTTCTAACTTGTTCACTGAAGTTCCTTCGGGTAAGGTATAAAGACTTACTGCCTTTTAGGTGATGGATTGTTTTCTCCCATAGGGTAGCTGGCGCTTTGCCACCAAGAATTAAGGTTCTGTTCTGCCTGTTTCCTTGGGTGAACTGAGTGAAATTACCCTTTGGCAGTTGCCTTTATCTCAAACCACTACAGGCAGCAAAGGGGGATAGCAGGTTGGAGGGGGAACAGAGGATACCAGGGAGAAGCCAGGGATGTCCTCGGGCTGCATTTCTGTAGAAGGCATTTGCAAAGGAATAGGGAAATTATTTTAAATGTCATCAGTTTGAATGCAGTGTGTCTTGTCTTCTGGGTTTAAGAACTAAGTCTGAAGTTATTCCGTGTTATCCCTTCATAAACAGGAGCTTTTCATCTCTTCAGAGATTTGAAAAACTATTTTCTTCTCTGACCCTCCTTCATACATGTCTCTGGGTTTCTACTCCGTTTCTTTAGAAGCTTGTGTAACATTTGTCAGGGGGCTTTCTCTTACCAGATAGAGGTTTTTCTTTTGCCCCAGTACCTTACATTTTGGTTTTCTGTCTTCTTACAGTTCTGTTACCTTGGGAAAGCCTTGAACAAAGGGCAGAAAAAAGGATCAGAGAAATCTCACAGGGAAACAAGCCTACAAGGCTCAAACCAGTCCCAAATGGGGCAGGTAATGGTGGTGGGAATAGGAGCCCCACGGTCTGTTCCCCGGAGCTAAGGAGCAGTAAATGCAGCATTTCAGTATACAGAATGTGTGTAAACACTACGGTCCGGTGTTTATTTGTTCTGCCTTTTGAAGGGCATGCAAAAGTACTTGCATATGCGACTCCCTTTGAGCTTAATGAGCTACACACAGACGTCAGAGATGAGATGAGAACTGGCTGCCTAGCCAGCCTGATAAGTAAGGTTTTAAGAATGGAGGTAGAGTGTTTTGGAAGAGAAGAGGTCCTGAGCATTTCTTGTATGCTCTTATCTTGTTTTCGAGAATGAAGTGAGATGATGAAGGAATGCACCACATTTGCATTTCTTTGTAGGGGAAAAAAGTTATCTTCCACCCTGTGTTACTGCCCAGATCTGATCAAGAGAGGTCAACAAGAAGAAAGGCTCCAGGGCAGGAGTGGAGCTGTTTGCCTTGTGATAATACCTGCAAGACCCACCGAAACTGGATCCCACTAGTGTCGGAACTGTCTTTCATTGCGCAGTCCTTGTTGCAAAAAGTTTGTGCTCCAAACAGACGAGACAAAGGGTGTGAGGGGTAACAACATAGTGATGGCTGCCTTATCATCCTACAGCAGGGCAAAACACAGCTTGAAATAAAGCCCTGCTGTCTTCCATCTGATCCCTCTCCTTCAGAAACTGCTGAGCTTGTGTCCCTCACCGTGTAACAGCCGGGAGCCAGCCCCCTCCACCAGCAGGCACCGGGCTGTGGCTGTGCTCTCTGGCTGTCCCATGCCAGTTCAGCCTGGGTGCTCAAGGGTGCGTAGGTGCAGCGGAGACCTCGATCCCCACTCCATTTATATCCTTCTTACCCTCCCAGCCTGCTAATTGTTTTTAATTAACATGTAGAGTCGAATGGTGATCACACAAGATTATTTTTGTTGGCTGCTGCCGACAGGAGAAGGCTGCTGAGGCTGACAGTGGCTCGTTATGTGATGGAGAGCCTTAGGAAACTAACCTTTGCCCTTCCATTACGTGATCTCTAGGCTGATGTTGAAGCACCATCCCTGGGCTGACCCCAGGTGTCAGCGAGAAGCACACTGTTGCCTGGAAGCACGGACCCCGGTCCTCAGGAGCTGGCGAGGGGTCACGCGTTCGGCGCTGCCTCCCGCAATTAAGGGAGCACGCGGGAAGCTGGGCTAAACTCTCCAGCAATAATGGGCTCTTTCAAGCAGGATGCTGGAACATACGTTTTGTAAGGTGAAGCCTGCCCTTAAAGACAACCTAAACTGGATTTATTGCAGGGTACAAGGGGGAGGAAAACGGAGCTGCCTTCTACCATAACTGCTCAGCTCAGCCCAGCCCGGCCCCTCTTCCACCTCCATCCCCTTCTATATAACTTGCGGGCAGCAAGGACTGTCCCTGGGCTTGATAATCCTCGGGGTCCCCCTCGGACACGCACCCAGCCCACGTACCAGGTTGTGATGCAGAGAAGCCTTCCGTACTGGCATAAACCTCATCTGCAGTGAGCTCTGATAGAGCAAAATTATAAAGGTGTTACGGCAAAGTCTTTAACAAAGGCACGGAATTACTGTTCCCGATTGCTTCAGTGACTGAAGCAATGTTCAGATTTGTAAATCTGCTTACAATTAACCTCCCTGGAGGGAGGGAACGCAGGGGAATTACCATGAAGTAGAGAGAATCCAGTTTTTGTGCTCTGTATTTCTGGGTTTTTTTAAACTCGCACAGCAATGTCTGTTACTCTTTGTCACAGACTTCGAAGTCTTACGGTGTTTAAATGTTCATGCTTCTCGGAACAGATGATTACATTCTGCCACTGAACAATAGAATTAATTGATTTGCTTATTTTAATTCTGGTTTAAATTGACAACCAGGAAGCATCAACTTGAAGAACTGTCATGTTTGTATTTTTTATGTTCTATTTCTGTTTCATTTGCTCTGAGACTCCTTAGTGAAGCGCGATTCCCCCTCCAGTGGGCTAGTCTGCGGAGTTGCCTTTGAGAAGTTCATGCAGATTCCACTGATGTAATTTTAAAGTGAATTAATAAGAATGCATGAAAATCTTTGTTTAGAGACTGACTCAGAACTAAAGTGTATCTTTATTCCTTTTAACCAGCAGAAAGCATTGGATTTAGGAATAGCTTCTGCTTTGCTACAGGCTAGATTTGTAACTAGATGCCTAAATACCACACAGTGGCTGGGGGCTTTTTCAAAAATTCCAGCCAGGTGGCCTCACGTGCTGACTCGCCTTGGTTTCTCCAGAGGCACGAACTAAATATCAGACTGAAAAATCACAAAACCCTGAATTCTGTCCTGGGACTAATTACTCTCTCTAAACACTACAAGCTGATTAGACTAGTTTTCC